GTTAATTTACAAAAAAATTATACAAAATGGGTTAATAAACTTATACAAGCATAAATCAGAATATCATTGCTCATATCAAATTTATTAATTTATTTAATGGGTATATAAAATGTATGCTATATTTATCATAATCCGAAAATATCAAATCTTTTTTAACAAGAAATACATTTGTAGAAAGAGTATATTTCTCCTTCTCTTTATTTTCCATATAAATTTTTTTCATCCATATAAACCTTTAATCAGTTCAAAAGCTCAAAACATGTATTACATTAGCTACAACCAACCTACCTGACGGTATTTCGCAAATGATAATGTTACGATAAAAAATGCCCATATACAGATTTGGCAATGTCAATAGCTAGAGATTTGACAGTTAGTATGCCAAAAATGATTGCCTGTAGAATGCCCAGTAGCAGCGGTATTGTCGTCTACTCTCGAACTGTGGAAATCAGTAGTCGGCATTAAAAAGAACAATTATGCAAGCTACCTTCACACATACGCTTATGCTCTATCGTTTAGTCATTGTTGAGACCATATTTATAGCGGGATTCTGTAAGAAGTCTCTATTTGAGACATTTTGAGGTAAAGTCTCAATTTGGGACTAGTTCCTATTCACTAAACTGTCTCTAGCGTTAGTCTCAAAATATTGTCTCAAATTTGAGACTTGATAGTTAGCAGGTCACAAAACTAAACAGAACTCTTGCTGCCATTTTGGATATACTGAATACAGATCATCATGGATATTAATCGATTATCGCTTTTTAACATTTTGTCAGCAACTCAAATACGAAGAAGTTAAAAATAAATCAATTAAACATAAATTTCGTAAATATTATGAAACAAAGTCAACATACATTTTTATTTTTATTGATAATTGTGTTTTTTGAGTATGTCGATTAAGGACGGTCGTCCGAATGTATTCGGAAACTTTTAAAGAACATATATTTCATTTAAAATATGTAGTACAAACACTTGACCGCGACTCAAAAAACGCACCCGATGAAAAAGAACAACACGAGTCGGATGAGACGCACCCCTTTTGAAGACGACCATGTCAAACTAATCAAGGACTATGAATTGAGGGCATGCACCTTGAATATCCGGTCCCTTAATTGGGAGGGTGTCGCTGCCCAGCTGGTTGGGACTGAGATGAGAAGGTCCTTGTGGTATTTACTGCAGTGGTGATATAAAGGAGCGCAAATTTAGTGTATGATTCGTGGGGGGAGAGAGACTCCGTCTCCGAGTATTGTCATTCACCCCAGTGGATGAACGTCTAGACACAATCCGCATCAAAGCGAAGTTCTTCAACATATCGCTACACGCCCAACCCCCTTCGGAAGAGAAGGACGATCTGACCAAAGATTCCTTCTATTCTAACTATGAAAGCTGCACCCGCCACGATATCAAAATCGTGCTTGAGGAAGGTATCTTTGGCACTACGGTGGCTCCCCGAGGAAACATCCCCAAATAGGTTGAGGCTGATCGACTTCTCCGGAGCCCAAAATATGGTTACCTGTAGTACTAGATTCCAGCATAAGAAAATTCATCAAGCCACCTGGCTGTCTCCGCATCGAAAAACCACCAACCAGATCGATCATGTTGTGAAAGACGGAAGACACGTCTCCAGTGTTTTAGATGTGGTGCGCTCCGAGGTCCTAACATCGACTCAGACCACTACCTTATTGCAGCCTAGATTCGCATCCGCCTTTGTGCAGCAAAAAACACCTGCCAACAAAAACAAATAAGGTTCGACGTCGAGAAGCTACATTCACAGCAGACAGCCGAACAATTTTCTACTCGACTTGCAGTCCTGCTCTCTGAGAGCACTCGTCAACAACTCGGTATAAACAAATTTTTTGCGGCATTTCAAGCTCCTTACGTACAGGTGCAACCGAAACCAATGGTTTTCGGAAAATGCAAAAGAACAACTAGTACGACGAGGAGTGCCGTGTTGTAGCGGAGAGAAACCAGGCTGCCTACCTCGCAACGTTGCGATGGACCACAACGCACGAAGCGAGACGAATTTGCAGACAGAAAAAGAAAGAGGCCAAAATGCATGAGTATGAAGATCTTGATAAGCTGGCGTTGCACGAAAATTCTTAGAAAGAATGCGGCAGCTAACAGAAAGTTTCAAGACCGCAGCATACTCTTTTAGAACCTCCAAAGCTGACAATGCAAAACACACGTAATGGGGTTCACGACTAATTAGTCTAAAAGGACGACAGCTGTATCACACTATTATAAATTGGCGCACTAATCTTGACATAGTATCTCCTGGTAAGCTGTCTTATGGGCCTAGTGATCGTAACAAAATACCAGATTTAATTGATTTTGACGTAATCAAAATATAGATAAATCGCACATAACAGTTGATACATGTACTGACCTATCTTCTAATCACTCTCTTATACTACCTGTGCAACTAACGTTGACATAATACAAAGGTTCTAATCGAAAATGTTTAGAACAATTACGTGTTTACTGTGGTACATGCGCAACGAAAATATCCATAAAGACCTTGGTATTGATATAGTAAAGAGAGGAGTAGAGGTTAGCAGAATTGAACATATATCTAAGCACCGAGATCACCCAAACGCTTTGGCTAATGGTTTGGTACATCCCTGCGCTCAAACATGCCTTAAAAGCTTTTAAAACAAAAAGTAGATTCAAAAAATAAAAATATATTGAAAAAAAAAAGTCAACAAAACACTCACACCGAAAAAGAAAGAGGCCAAAATGCGTGAGTATGAAGAGCTGGCCAACAAGGGTAATGCTTTAAACTTCTACGAAAAAATGCAGCGCCTAACAGAAGATTTTAATACCGGAGCATACCCTTGCAGAACCCCCAGAGATGATCCTAGTGGCCGATGCCTAGAGCATACTAAAATTATGGAGCGAATACTTCTCCAGCTTGCTGAATGGTAGTGAAAATATAACGCCAGGAGAAGGCGAACCCGATTCCCCCATCGATGACGATGGAGTAGACGTTCCATTGCCCGACCATGAAGAAGTTCGAATAGCAATTACCCGTCTGAAGAACAGCAAAGCGGCTGGATCCGACGGATTGCCGGTCGACTTATTCAAGCACGGCGGCGAAGAACTAATATGGAGCTTCTTTGTAAAATATGGTAAGAAGAAAGCATGCCCAACAATTGGAATTTAAGTGTCTGCCCAGTTCACGAAAAGAGAGACCCCACAATCTAAGCCAACTACCGTGCAATAAGTCTCCTAAACATCGCGTATAAGGTTCTATCGAGCGTATTGTGTGAAGGATTAAAGCCAGCCGCAACAAACTGATTCGATCTTATAAGTGTGGCTTTAGACCTGGAAAATCAGCAACCGACTAAATATTCACCATGAAAATTTTGGAGATGACCTGTGAAAAGAGAATCGACACACACCACCTCTTCAGTGAAAATGTTTAAGCATCAGAATATTAAAGCCATTATTCGTGAAAAGTTTTATCACGTTATATTTACTGCTCCTAGAAAACGCCGGCTGCTATAAAGCTCTCTCATACCGTCTCGGTTCTAAAATTTAATGTCTATGGTGTATTTAATTATTGATTTATCGCGCTTTTAGTAGTTTTTAACAGTACTGTTATATGGGGAGTGAGACGGGTTATTTTACGATTTCATTCATTTTCACATTGTCGGTAGAAGTTTATTGTAGCTTAAATGGTTTAGGAGATATGTGCATTAAACTTGTTAGAGGACGGTGCCACTCCCACTTTTTCAAAAAAAGATTTTCCATAGGTGCCAATTTCTACTGCGATTCTCTGTACCAAATTAGTGCTTCATATCTTAATTTAGTGCTTAGTTATGGCACTTTATATGTTTCTGATAATGGCAATTTGGGAGCGTACGATTACGCCCATCTACAAACTAGAAATTTTTTGCACTAAGGAAGCCTTATACCAAGTTTCATGGTGATATCTCAATTTTTACTCAAGTTACAGTCTTGAGTTTGAACTGTTTTCCTTATCCTGATCATTTATATTTGTGTAACCCTATATCTATCTCGCTTAGTTTTAGGTGATACTTGCAACCATTAGGTGAGCAAAACTATAATACTCTGTAGCAACTGGTTGCAAGAATATAAAAATAGCAACACACTGATTGTTGTTCCTGAACAAGGCAGTTTTTTTGGGATCAGATACTTTTAATAGCACAACAAAAATAGCATGAACGCAAATGCATTCAAAACAAACAAACGCGACATCAATGAATTACATAGGACTGATGCCAGAACCTTGTCGGCCGACTTTTTCGTCTTTCCACGCTTGAGAACTTGTGCATGTGCAGTCCACTAAGATGAATGTCGATTGGACTGAAATGATATTTCTATTAGTATGAAATGATGTTTTTATTGTCACATACTGCCGCAAAAATTCTTTAAATTTCGTTTTATTACGATTAAAGAGCACTCAAACACTCCTCAGATTCAGCAATTCGTTGTTTTTGTTAAATTATGAACTTTCGCAGCACCCATTTCGCCTCTTTAGGGCGTCCACTGCCTCCATTGTCCTTGGCGCTCATTTCCCCTATTTACAATGCAGCAAATCTCTTTTCAATGGTTGATTTCCCTGGTTCAGAGCTTAATGTTCCCTAAAAAGCAATGCTTTTTTAACACACGTAATGCTTTTTGATCCTTTTTTGTAAACTAACACAAGTTCTTTGACAAAAACGCTATATCTTACTAGAATCATATAGATGGTATTAAAAGTACTATCTATGTATCAGCTACAGTAACGCGTAGAGGGTACCTCCAATAATAGAAAAGCATTGCTTCCTAACAAGAAAACACCGTTGATGCATTATTATAGCAAATATCAAATTAAACAGTCTAGATTAGATGTTCAGAATTTCGTCGTAACTGACCAGCATAAGTGATGCCGATCAGGAGGGCTACAAGAGATAGTAATTTCAGACAGCATTAACTTAACTAAATTTATACTCGTATATCTATATAAAAATGATGTATTATGTTAATATACTCACGAAAGGTTTTGTAAACTTTGAAATGATCAACTTCCGTTCTAACTTTCAGTCTTGCATAGTTTTCTAGTAATTTTTTTTTACTTTGCACACATCTCCTCATGTCGGTTAACCCAGACCCTCTAATTTGGTCGTATAAATTCAAATTAGGGTCCCAATAAAAAGGTAGCTTACACTTTTCAAGGCTATTGTCAAGATCTGTAAACAGCTGTAAAAATACATACAAATTATATAGTTGAGCTTAATTAAATATCTAATGAATTGCTGAAAATATTAGCAATAATTATAGCTAATGTGAAAATCAATATCGTATAATAATAGGAATTATAAAGTGGGAGATCTTAAAGATTTGAAAAATTTACATATATGTATTAACATTGTATAAATTAAGAAGACTGAATATGATTGCAATGGATTTAATATTTCGCCTAATAACAAATATTGAAATCATAAACAACATAACTATTCTATAGCACAAGGTATATACGGTACATATTGCGAGTAATTATATTATTTAAATTTTGTGGAGGTTTAATGCGGTAATGTAGTAGGAGACAAAATAGAATTTCCTATAACCTTGTTTTTTAATTCTAAATGTTGTTTAATTTGGGTGTTTGTGCTATTAACTGTAATTATTTCGAACTAAATGTGTGTTGTCATTCATATTAAAAGGTACCTATTTAAAAATTTATGGAGGTTTAGTAAAAAATTTTGCCATTTATCAAAATTTAATCATGAAAGAAAGATAAAAAATTAAGCTTTAATTAATTCATTTAATTTAATCATAAGAATACACTAATTTAAAAATTTTCGCGCCACCGGAGCTTTAACGCCTTTCTCAAGGGAATTTCTTATAGCATAACGTTTTTTTTTTTCTTTCGATTATATAAAGTTAAACTTTTGATTTTACGAAGAGATAAATGTGTATAATCGACCAGACAAGACTGAATATAGAAATCTTTAAGTATATTTCAAATAGCAATCGATGATGTTGGGATAGATCGCATTAGCAAGACTTACCATGTTTATATCGATGCGGTAACTATTTTCTCACAAACAGCAAAAGATCACGCAAGCGACTTAGAATTTGAATGAGTTTCTACGAAGCCAATATGAGAGTATCGGTAGAACAAATAAAAGTTTTTCCAACAAGACATAGAATATAAAGTGAAGTTGTATAAAAACAAGTCCTGAAAAGGTCAACGGCATAAAAAGTTATGAACCAACCAGCCAACCACACTTTGCGGACTTCGTTCAAATCTGAGATTTGCACTGACATGGCAAAATAAGCCCATCTAGTGGAAAAAAATTAAAGTTCAATTGACACCAGAAGGTGAAAACGCATTTAACTAACTTAAAGAAATTCCGTCTTCAAAAAATGTCACATTAACCCATCCTGATTTCACTAAACCGTTTGGTATGACAGCCGGTGCTTCCTCAGAGGTGTTTAAGCGAGTTAAGGCTCCCCCACTCTATCCGGGAAAAGCTGGCGCACCCTAGCACAACTCACCTAACCATACCACACTTAACATCTGAAAATAACATGCACCAATACACCACAACTGGGGACAAATTGGATTTAAGCACAGCAGATAGCTGTGATAGATACGTAACAAAATAATTTGATCATCGTCTTTTTCTCTTAAACTTTCGAATCGAAACGTTGACCACTCGGTTCCTACGCGCTGACCTTTTACGCACATCGACATTGGTATATATATGTACACATTCGCCAACACCGGCAAATCACTCTCGGAATTGGAGTCTCGCCGCCCCTCCCGTAGATTATATTTCCAAACTTTATAATATATAAATTTGGTGATATACATAACTAAAATTGTTGAAAAAGCAAATTCTATACAAAAAAAAAAAAAGATTTTCATTTTAATTAACGCCGTGGTGGGCGCACCCTACTATATTGAGTGTACATCTAAATAAGGGGCTTAGGAGCTGGCCTTTCATAAGAAAAGAAGTCAATAACCATGATATCAAGAAGAACAATTAGCTATAAATAAAAGAGAACTATTTCGTGTGGGCACTTAACTGTTTGAGAAATTATCTATGTATATGGAGTAAACCAGTTGAAGATTTATACGGACCACCAATCTCTGACTATCGCAGTTTCAGATAAAAATCGAAACGCTTAAATTAAACGCTGGAAGTCTTTTGTAAAGAAAGAAAATGAAAATCACATGGCTGAGGCATCATCAAAGGAGCAAATGAATATGATAGACGTTGAAATGGAATCACGCTCTGGCTATGCAGTCACCAACCTACACCATTGAAACGGTAGTTAAACCAGTCAATTGTTTCCGAAATCGGAAAATACTTAAAGAGTGCGAAAGTCTATCAAAGCGATCCTTTATAATATTTGGATAAAAAACAAGCATATAATTTCATTCTGTACTATAGAGTTAATGCTAGTGTAACAAATGCCATATATCATTTCGCGATGAACTAATCCCATATATTGCAGCCTACGAGTTTTAGCAAAAATTCAGCACCGGCTAATTGAACACCACCACAACAAAAAATTCCGTCAAAAAGAAAAAAAATGGTTACAGATATATTAACCGAAGGAGACCAAAACGAAATAATAGTGGCCAAGCGTAACCGACCTCATAGAGGAACATAAAAAATGGTGAAGCAGATCTTGAATGACTAGTTTTTTGAAGTCAAGTTAAGCATTTTCAAGGTACTAGGTGCCGTTGATGTGATTTGATTAGCCATTGTAACGTACAATAAGTCAATTAGTCCTAGACGGAGATGCAATCGTGTGGGAGACTAACGACTACTTGACCCACCAACTTGAAGATGTATTCTATAATGAACGATGAGAGAAGAAACCTTACAAACCTTTTTACACCACCACATATGAGAAAGATACTAGATTCTGACTAACGTACGTCCAAACACTACTGCGAACTGTTAACATTCAAACATGAAGCTAAAACTTTTTAAGCACGACACTTAGAGCCGTTTTCACTATTAGTCAATGTAGCCAACAGCTGTTTGTTAACTAAAGCAATGTTTTTCACAGTGCTTAGTGATAAAAATAAATTTTCTGGCTAAAAGTCTGGTAGCACCATAGAAAACATATGATCTTGACATTACAGTTTTACAATTTATGTTTTTATTTCATTTCACAATTGATAAAATTGCAATTCAAATGGCGACGAAAAAGATTAATAAGTGAAATCGACGTAAATTTATTACTTGCTATAAAAGAAAAACATAAAAATGTGATAGAGTGCAAAAAAAGCGATACTTTTACGGTAGATGTGAAAAATAAAGCTTCGTTAAAAATTCAGGAGGAATATAACAGCAGACCATCGTCTTCATTTCGCGATGAAAAATGCTGCGTACCAAATATCACAACATGAAAAAGGAATTAAAGAAAAAGGTAGCAGCCGAAAAAAAAGTCGCATCGCGACAGGAGGAGGGCCGCCTTTGAAAATTAGCACCAATGATATTGATGTAATGTTAACATCAATAATAGGTTCGGAGCAGTTAGAAGGAATGGAATCTGTATACGACTCCGATAATCCTTTTGTGGGAAACAAAACGGAGGATGTTATCGTTAGCATTGGTAAGAAATTACTTAATTATTCTGCTCTTGAATTGGGAGGTTTCATTGTCTTTATTCATGCTGTTACCCAAATACCATCATTTAAATGTATTAATGGTTTTGCAGATAAGGCAGCAAATAACATCAGTGCTAAGCAATCTCTGGATAAGAGCGAGGAGTTTGAATACATCAAGAACACATCCAACACAGCTACTACTTCGAAAAATTGGAGTACATACACGCCTGCAGATTTAAAAGCTCCTAAATGTAAAAAACTTATAATCGACGAATCGCAAAGCAAAGAGAAAAATACATCATGGTCGAAGCTGGCCGCTGTTAAATCAAAATGGACCGGAGAAAAATGCCGCGTAGAGATTGAAATATTAAAAGCTGAACATGAAAAGCGAGTAAAGATGTACGAGCAACATATAAAGCAATCTGAAGTGGAACACAAAATGCGTATGAGAATTATGAAAGAGCAATTAAAGGAAATTCAATAGCGCAATCTTCAATTGGAAAAAAACAGTACAAGTACAAAATAACTTGACACATACAAAATAAAAGTGTTTTAAATAACATTGTTGTATTAAGCGTGTGTAAGCAGCATATATTTTGCAACACTGCTGTGGCGACAGTTGTTGATTGGACTTTAGTGCAATTCATTCGTATACCCAAAGACAATACTGGAAACCTTCGCTTCCAAACACCATAAGAGCGTTCAATTGGATTTCTTGACCGAATATGTCATTCGTTATATAGTCTTTCAGCTGCACTGTTAACGGAATGAAGGGGTGTTAAAATGCGTTTATTATTTTCATACCCTTTATCAGCAAGCACAAGCCCTTCTCCGAACTCTCCGTACTCAAGACGAGCAAAAATACGAGAGTTTCGTAATATGCTAGCATCATGTTTTGATCCTGGCCACCTAGCAACTATGTCTAAAATCATCAAACGAGCATCGCAAATCGTTTGTACATTAAAAGAAAATATGCTTTTTCTCTTACTAAATAGTTCCGCATGGTCTCCGCCTAAAATGGAAGGAAACATGTAAAAATAGATATTCATTACGGTTTTGARGTGTTTCAGCTCACCAGGTGACTGAATTTTTACGTGCGTGCAATCGAAGGCACCAATAACTCTGGGAAATTTAGCAATTCGAAAAAATTCCTTCTGTTTTTGATGTATATCTTTCGTTGTAGTAGGAAATCGTACGAAACTTTCTCGCAACCTTACTATTTTATCTGAAACAAGAGTAAC